TGAGCAAAGTGAAAAACTGCAGGTTAAACCCAGGTAACAAGGACGCTGCCTTAAGATGCTCTATCTGTACAGATGTGGTTTTGTAGGAGCACGAGTGGTGCAGAAGCACAGAAAGCCAAGGACGTGTGCTTCTGAACCTGTAGGCATATGAGACTGCTCCCAGCTGAGAAATTTTACACAAATGGTGTAACTGGCTGGGATGCTGCTGAAGCTGGGCAAACACAAAGGAAATCTTCAGGTATCCCTGTTCAGTCAACTGAGTCAAATTTGTCACAGTTCTTAAAACACAAAGGTCTTTACCTTGCTTCATTGTATTTGAGAATTTATTGCCCATCTTACTTATAGGGGAAAAAAAAAAGATTTATAACTCAGCTAAGTCACAGCTAGTGAGAGAGGCTGCCCAAGCCATGAACTGTGGGTGTTCAGTGTAAGGTTGTTTAGCAAAGACTAAATTCAGGCTGTAAGAGCTTTTACAAGAGACTGTAAATCACCTTAACTTTTACACACTGTGGCAACATGTGAGCAGAGGAATGTGGCTGGTCTGTGCTAGTCCCAGAAAGGTCCCAGATGAGGCCAGCAGATTGGGTGGCAGACGTGCAATGCCGAGCCTGTGAGTAAAACACTCAGACTTATCTCCCCTGTGCTGCGTGTGTATGCGACCAGGGCAAAGGGGCAGGAAACCAGCCCAGAGGTGCCACAGGAACAGAACGCACCAGGGCAGCTTGAACACCCGATGGGAAGAGCATTGCTAAGCAGTAAGCAAACTGTAAAACACAAGTCAGACAAAACATCTGGCAGCTGCTTCACATAGTTTTCTGTCTGAAGGGCAGACGAGCCTGCAATAGTTTAGAATCAAAACATGCGCAAGGACAGGATCAGTGCTCCAGTGTGTTTTGTGCGAGCATTGAATGAGTTTTGTTCCCTTCAGCACTGTTTTGTATGCCAAGAAAGGCTGTGCTTTGAGTTAGGTTTTTAATTTTAATAAACTTTACTAAAGAAATCACTATGTATTTCCTTCTCCAGTCAAATGCATCTTATCCTTTGTCATCAGACCAACAGCATTAGCTCTGCATAGGAAGTTTGTGGGAGAGGAAGAGCATGCTAGGAAATGGTTTTAATAAGTATCTTACCTGATGCAGAAGAGAAGGTGTGACTGCCAAAGCAAGTTCCTAAAACTATGATGCTTCTAAGTTTGCACATCTCAGACACAGGGAAAGGGACAACTGCTTTGTGCTGGTACTGGCTAAGGTACAGACTGATGTCTAGGCTCCAACACGGAAGTTGTCTGAGCTCAGAGAAATAAATTCTCCGTTATACAGCTAAAGGAGAGAATTGGCAACTGTCCTCCGTCCCCCCCGCCCTGGGTATTTCTGTCTTGCCATTGTCACGCTGTGACCAAGATCCACAGAAGGGATATTTGTTGGCACAGATGTGCTGCACAGGAGTGTAACCTGCACCCCAGACAGGCTTTCCTTCCAAAAGGAATTGTGACAAGACTGCTGAAGTGGTACAACCTGCTCCACTGAAAACTTGTCCTCTTGCACACTTTTCTAGACTCAAACTACTTTCCCCAAGGCCTCACCTTCCAGAAAGAAACGAAAGCTACCCTGCTGTCTGTCTAGAGCATCAGGATGCCAGATTCTCTGCAGAATTTCCACAGCACTTTGGTATCACCAGCAAGGCAACAACAGGCAGTGTTCAAGGCCAGAAGCCTCCTATAAAATGCAGGAACAGTTCCATGTGCATAAACATTATTACTCAGCAACAGCAGGAAGACAAGAGCTGCTGGCCAGGGTAACAGGGTTGGTTTTCAGGGAGGCCCTGATACACGTAGGACTTGCAATTTTTAATGCTACTCAAAAAAGGAGTAGGTCTGCCTGCCACATGCCAGTGCTTGAATACAAGCAATAGCAGGGGAAGCAGAGAGCCACTGATTCATTAGGATTTGCTAATCTGTGATATCATTTGTTGATTCCACCAGGTCCAATCCCCATCTCATGACTTCCTCCACTGTTGCCATGGCACTGTACATAAACACTGCAAACTCCCAGCCCAGAGCAGGTCATTTGTTTCAAATATTCCATGCAGCTGGAAGGCAAGCCTGTTTGGGTGTCTGGAGCTGAGCATGAACTAATTTCTCAGTCTTCTGCACCCGCCCCAGCCTGCTGCTCTCCCAGAACCCCTCCAACCACACTTCCAGCAAAGCAGAGGCAGCCTTCCGCAGAAAGGTAAGGGGAAGCTGGCCTTGTTCACAGACAGGCACAAAGTGTTTCACTGAGGTCCTCCACTACCAGCAGCAAAATAAAAGTGATGATTGAATATGCTGGATATTTCAGCTTAGGATCTACAAACAGTGGTCTTCTACATGGGGGAAAAAACAAGATTAAGATATTCAAAATTCCCAAAAAAATCTTGCCCTGAGACAAAGACAAGAAACCACTTGCTTTTTTAATTTTAAGCTCTCCTCACCCAGTACCCTTATAATGCAGTTTGTAAATACACATCTGAACTGATACCATAACTGCCGATACCATTCAAAAGCCTCTGTATTGCCCAGGTTGGAAGTGGAGGAGACTGAAGGCACTACCAGCAAGCAACAAACAGTTTCTACACCACAAACAATATAATCCATATCTCCTCAGAGCCCAGGAATGAAGCACAGCCCTCTTGTGCAAATAGATCTCAAAATATGAGAACACAGCAACTTCTAGCGGTGGGTAGGGAGTGACTGAAAACTGATACCAAGTGACTTGAAGTAAACCAAGTTCTTGACCCGAAGAAGTTACCCAGAACACACTGAAATCCATCAGCCATTTTTCAAGCACACATCATACAGGAATGACTCTCCAAACACTCAGCTGAACCTGCCGCAGCACCTTCTGTAATTCACTTGCTAGGGATCCCTTAGGCACTCACCATTTCATTTTGCTTTCTTCTATCCATCATCTCCTTTACTAAAAAAAAAAAAACCCAAACAAACAAAAGACAATCAAGTATGAACACGAAGTAGCAGGTTACTGACCTGTTTTAATATGAGCTTCTTTTCTGGAAGAAAAAGTTGTTTACTGTAATCTAGGAGTGAAATTTGCAAGCCTGCACAAAGCATCAAGTTTGGCAAGACAACTGGAGCCCTGCTCCATTGAATCAATTTGAAGAAAAAAGGCGTAAAGTGTAATAAGTCAGTTGTAAACCAAGTTAAATTAGGACCCCAAGGCTGTGTCTCATCACAGATTTAATTCAACTCCATCTGGAGTACCATTTTTAGGCACAAGTGGCAGCTGTACAAAGTCTCAGGTTACCACACCCTACCACCCTGTACCAAGACCTGCAGCTCACCCTCCACCTCCACACACCTTTTAGCTGCCAGCTTTAAACTGTCACTCTTCCAAAGCACAGTCGAGGCCACAACACCCCTTGCTTTTACCTGTCTGGGCTGGCTTCTTGGGAATAAGCTCACCATTCACATAGAAACTTGATATAAAGAACTCTGACCATCTCATGCAAATAAAAACCAGCATCAAGTAATATTTAATAAAGTTTATTAGGTTACTGAGTATTATCTACAGTCATAAAATAGAAAGTCAGAATTTAAAACTGTACAATGCCATGTACTGGTGTGGTGAGGAGAGACAAAAACAAAGGAGCACAAAGAGAATTGGAAGTACGGAGAACACAGCTGCTTCCCTGGAGTCATGGAAGACACTGGTTCAAGTTGAAGGCAACCAAGTAGAGCTCCATACACACTGAATTTTCTTCTCTCCCACCCTGTAACAGAAACTAGTACAAAAATCATATAATATTAGATTTAAAAAGGGGCATCACACCCCACCCAGTCTTGGCACCAATTCTGTGCTTTAAAAAATATTCTATGCAAGTAGTTTATTTTTAAAAAAGGTACCTTACAGCAGCTGTTTAAAACATGTTCTTATACATACACCACAAATATATATATTAACATTTTCAACAACTAAACTCATTTGTACCTACACAGAACTGAAGGGATAACTCGAGCCAAAAAAACAACTACACAAACATTTTTTTCAAGACAAAGAAATGTGCAAAATAACCCCAGAAAGGCAGCATAGTAACCCGTGGAGAGGTCAGGAGAGCAGCTCCTGCTAGTAAAGGAGTGTCATCCTCTTTACTTGGCTACTGAGGTGAGAATCTGTTTGGGATGTGCTGATTTTGCCTGAATTGCTTGACCTGTTTATTGCAGTTCTCTCCTGCCCCTTGCCCCCAGCTCTGGAGAGGTTCATTTTCTCCTTGCTGTACCTGAAGATCACCCCACTGGCCCCTGTTAAAGTCTCACAAGTTACATTCTACAGCAATCACCTTCTGGATTTCTCATCTGCTGATAGTACTTCTGCAGCCACACTGCTACTGCTTTCTCTGGGACAACTTTCCACTCCAAGCAAGAAACAGAGAGAACAATCCATGCTGCATAGTTAAGTGGAGATTATGCCGATGGTCTATGACAGAACAAAGCCTGGTTTGGATTACTTTAAGCAGCTTATCTAAGATGATAATTCCCTGGCAGAGCCATTAGAGTTTCTGTGTTTCTCTAAAGCCTTAACACAGAAGAGGCTACATAGAAAGCAGACCTAAGATGGCAGGACCCATAGCTGTGTAACAAATCTCAGCTTATACAGCCTGTCTCACCCTGTTGCAGAAGAAGTTTGTCCCTTCCCTGTCCCCACATCAGCAAGGAAGCCCTGATCCTGGACTAAAACCTGCAGTTTCAAGTCAAGAAGAGGGCAGGTGAAGACATTGAGTAGGACTACTCAATCAACTGAGACAAACCCACTAAGAAGTGGCACAATAGAGAATGGAGCAGGAGAACTGAGAAAGCGATGGTGATAAACAGGAAAGCAGGATTTGCTGCGTATGAAATAACATTAGAATGTGATGAAAAGTCCTGGCAGAGATACAGACATCAGCAACATAACCACCTTCTCCAAATTAAGCATCCTGGTGGAAGGGTTCTTAGTTTTGGTGTTTCAGGGTTTGGGGGTGGGTTTTTTTTTTTTGGTTTTTCAAAAATTAACAATTAATTCTTCCTGGTATTCCAGCCTCTTCCCAACTCTGCTGGCCACCCCATGCCTTTCCATTCTTAGGACCTGGTCTTATCATTTCTACTCCTAATGCCCTCCCTTCCCCCAAATCATGTTCTTCCCTTTCGCTGGTACAGAAAAATCATTCACTCCCAGGCTCTACAACCCAAAGAATGCAGTAGAGCCTTTTCTCAGGAGAAGCAGGGTAGCACAGAGCTTCTGTAAATGTTCCTTTAAGCGTGCTGGGGAAGTGGCTTCCAAAGAACAAAACACTCAACTGTGAAACAAAGATTACTTGAGAGCTTGCCAGTAAAGGCACATGCAGACTTAAGCAGTGGCAGGAATACTTTGGCCAAGGAGTTCCAACAGTAGCGATGACACAAGGGTGGAGAACCCATTGCACAGTGGGTCAACTCCAGATCTTTTGCCTTGGTTGCAACTCTCTATCCTTGAAGACGAAGGTCATTGGTAGAGCAGGTAACTCTTGAGGGAGGCGGGCAGTGGCAGCGTAGGGATCTCATTCAGTCTCTCCTTGCCCAGAGCAAGCCTCACAGCTCGCCGACACAAGTCCATCAAAGGCAGTGGTTCAGCTGGGAAAAGAAACCCAAGACATTAACAACCCAACCCACAAGTTACACATTCATTTTGCTAGTTCTAAAATCCCCCAGAGAAGAGAGCAAGAAAAGTAAATGCCTGGCACATTTGCAGGACACAAGCCATTCAGTGTTTACACACAGCAACTTTACATACAGCTCAAATACACAGGCAGAGCATGATGTTCCTGGAGAGGTTAAGCCACACAAGTGCATGAACCAAAAGACACGACAATCTCCTAATGGAAGTTCCCTCTCTGCAATACCATTCATTCAAGTCAAGACTCATCTAGCTTGTGCCTCTTACTGCAGTAACCAAAAACCTTTGTAAGAGATTCACTGAAGTGAAAGACTGCAGCAGTTTGATAGCATCAGGTGGTATGGATACCTAGAAAATACCATGATTTGTCTCTTACATAGTTGGGTAACAGCTGTCAACCCCTTCATTTGTACTATATACTTCCCATGAAAAACAAAGCCATCTGTTAAAGCGTCATGTCACTACTTGTGACATTTTCCATTAGAGGATTCCCTCCTGTGTCATAAACCCAGGAAAGATACAAGCCTTTGGCTATCTTTTTTTACATCCTGCACTTACAGCCACTGAAGAAGATAATGAGTTTTTCAGGAAAGACATATGGGGCCCTTTGATGCTGGAGAGTCATTCACAACATCCAGGAAGGTACAGATTAGTTTCTCATGGCTTCTGCTGCTTAGTCTGCCAAAGCTCACCTTTACACTGCATGCTGCTCAAGCATAAGGGGCTCTTCCTCCCCCTAAGAGGGCTAACACAAAGACATCCCAATTTAAGCAGGTAACTAGACATCCTTCTAATAGCCTGAGGGCTCAGCATGCACCATTAGAAAGCTGCCTTTATCTTGGGCTGAACACAGATACCTAAAAACATCCACAGGAATGGAAAAGTTTGGCTGAGAAGCCGCAGGTTTCAGATCCCAGCAGCTCTAGCTTCTACTACAAACCCAATTAATCTGACTGTTCATACAGCTGTTTTAAACAGCTGACAAAGAGGGAAAGCTTAGTTTTTCTGAGCATGTTACTGCATCTTTTTAACCAGAATTCATTCCTTCAATAAGGTGGCTACAAGTCCCTTGCTTCCAGGTTCAAAGATAACAGCTAACACTGAAAACTCAGAATGAGTGCTGTTGTCAGTATCTGATCAGGCCACTCCTGATTCTACTTTGGAAAAAGTAAACAGTCATACCGCTCCATGTAAAAAACACTTCCAGGGAAAAGTGGAGAAAGCTAATTTTTATCTATTTTTTGGCAAAAAGTCTGTGAGAAGGAGAGTTTGTTAACTAAGGAGAGGCTTGGTAACAAAGTCAGGAAATGCATGCTTGGATTGGTCTGTCTCCTCCTCGAGTTCGCAGCCAGAGCTGAACTATTTCCCCTTTCTCCTTCCGTGCTGTGGATCACAAGCTATTACCTGCTCCAGGGGAAGCTGCAGTGGAATGTTTTTTCTAGCTGTTCTCCAAAGTTGTCCAAGTGCTTCAAGCATTAATTATTCCTGAGGAATCATACCTCTATATGCATACCTCTTTTACACTGATACCGGGCAGAGAGCAGACATCTGCCAGGGCAGTGCTGTTGCTTCCCAAGCCCCATCATGTCTCATACATGTTCTGTGCCAGAAGTGAACACACGGCTGCACCCAGCCCTAGGTACACTGGTCTTGCCTGCTCAGGACCTATTTCAGGATCCATCCTGCTTCTTCTGCGGGGACAGGTCTCTACAGTGGGACTGCATGTCTCAGCTCAGGCTTCTCCAGCACTAGCACAGCCAATTACTGGCAGCACTCCTTTGGCACATCCCAATGTAGCTTATTCTTAAGCCACTGGTGTACAAACACACTGTATTCAAAGTCTGTCCCAATTCTTCCTGCTCCACATGCAGATAGTGGGACAGAGGCATTGTCTAGCCAGCATCCCAGAGGATAAGGGGGCCCTGACCTCAAAGCCTATAGATATTAACATAACAAATACATTCCAGTTTAATGGCCTTAAAAGGAGAGGATCTTCTTCCCACAGAGATTAAGAACAAGAACTTTGTCCTCATCTAGTTTACACTGATAACTCAGGCTGACAGGAGATCTTGAGACCAAAAGAGAAAGCACACATATCTGACCTCCTTCCATTCACAAGCACTACAATCACTGGACAGTGCTGCTATTGAATGCTCACAAGTGGTTAGAGCCAGACACCTTCTTTCTGTCTGTGCCAAAATAGCATCCCGTCATTCCTGGCCTAATGCCCACAATTCACTCCTATGCTGAGAGCACATTACAACCAAATCCAGTACTGGAGGTGGCCGCTTCCTTGCTAAACGCAGTTCTGTGCCAACAACTCCACAGACTTGCTGGCTTTGAGGGGAGCTGCAGATTTTGGCTTTGACCCTTCAGAAAAACCTGGTTACTGGAGCTGCTGCCATTCTGTAAGCTGTTGAGGCAGAATGAGCTAGATTTCTTTCTTTCGGTGACAAAGTGCTCTGCCAAGAGCTCTCTATTTGGTCTTCCTGAATTGAAGCGTATTTCTCAAAGCACTTATTTTTCCTCCTATCCCTTTGCAAGGCTTTCCTGGTTATCCTGACAGTTGTTTTTCTGGTGCCCAGTATCAGCTTTGTTGTGCCTTATGTCACCAGTGCCAGGGGTTTGCCATTGCTGGCCCACCATTAGAACATTTCCAAGCACAAAAAGAGCCCAGTATGCTGCAGCCTTTGGGCAGACACTGTTCTGGAATGCAGGGGGAACACTACTCTTTTCATAACAATACTGCCAAATTTATTTCACTAACGACATAAATCCAGATTTTAATCCACTTCCTTCACCTCTCTCCTCCACCCTACCCAGAGGCCTGAGTCACAGTCTGGCCCAATGGGAAATTCTGACTGTGAGAGATAACAGACTTTAGCACATTTGGACAGCCAGATTTATTACTAAGCTTAGCTATTGAGATTGATGTCCCTGTTAGTAAAAGGCCTGGCATGCAAGTTGGGCTGGCTACAATATCCAGCCCCACACTAGAAATGAGCACACCCTGCCCTGAAAGAAGCAGAGAAGTGACTACTTTTTTGAAAGATGAGACATTCCCATTTTCTTAGATAGGGACAGATCTTCCCACTGTTGCCCGCAAGGGATTTTAGAAGTCCCTTCATTAGACATTTAAGGCAGGCAATTGTCCCTCAGAGACTGTTCCCAGTAGAGAGACACCAGGATTACGGTGCCAATAATGCAACTGTCACAAAGACATTCCTGATGATACCTTTGTACCAATATAGAAAAGTTTGTCATCTCTAGACAGACAGCTGGCATCACCTTCACCCACCATACCACCTGCCCAAAGCCTGCCTGCTCCCTGCAGTGCCTTGGGAACAGTACATGTGTACAGCCAAACTTTTTGAATTAGCCACTAGGGATTCAGAGCTGCATGCAGCAATCCTACTGCTGACAGGAAACCCTCACCTCTAACAAAATGAAGACCCTCCCCAGGATGGTGTAGTAAGCCTGCTCTTAAGTAGCACACAGATCTGTGCTGCTAGAACAAATACAGGGAGTCATACTCACGGTCAAGTCCATTCAAGTAGCGCATCCGTATTTCACAGTGTCCCCACACCGCGCTTACCACTGGATATAGCTTTTTCCCTTTGAGTCCCCGAAATGCAACACCCATGTATTGCCCATCTACAATGAAGCTCAGTGTCCCATCATCCATGTCCAGAACCACCAGGAAGGAGTCCGGCACAATGAAAGTTTCATCTGGTTCTAAGAAGGCAGGATAGGTTTTACTGGGCTGGTTCTTGCCATCGTGATACAGTCTGTTACGCCCAAGGTCCCACCCCCAAGATTCATGGTTATTTCCTACAAGCGACGTGTACCCTACTGAATGCAAAGGGGCATCTGCTGTCGCCACCCCAACGACAGCGTGCGTGCCGCGCTGCCTCATCGCCCACGTGATCTGCCAGACATGCAGTCCTCGCGTATAGCCCACTTTGCCTCTGATGGCATCTGTACTCTGAGCCACCGGATGCCGGTGAAATATGAGTTTGTCATCCTCTTTCACAAATACATTCAGCGAGCGATCATCATTGTTCCAGGAATGCAACAACTGGACTTCATATGATACAGGAGGCATATCCAGTAGCAAGTCCAGACGCGTGGGTTTGCTGTAGTCGAGTCCTTGGAGTTCTTGTTTCAAGGGCCTGTATACAGGGTCCCTCATATCCACAGTCTTTATCCCACCTGTGACCTTCTGACCCATTGTGTGTTCCGATTTTGCCTATTTATAGGCTCCCAAGGCAAGCTCATCGATTTACCCGGCTGCTCCTGCTGTCATTCAGCCCTATAGGAAAAGTTGCCAGGAGACCGTGTCAAGACAGGCACCAGTCAGTATCACCTAATGGATGGAAAGAAAAACAAGAGACAAGTTAAACATTAGCACGGACAGCCTCATATGCAACATTAACAGAGCACGGTTTTCATCTGTTTATCCTGACAGCTCGTCCTTCCTTTCCACCAGCAGGGAAGGGTAATGCATGCTACTTACACAGTATACCCTGCATAGCAGAGATAGCATATAGATCAAATGGATAGCTACTAAGGAAGGTATAGATTCAGCCACCAGAGCTCATCTTCTCTTTACACTGCTCCTAGGTCACACCACAAGGTCAGGCTGAGCAAGACATCCTGGGGAAAGCCCTGGCTGTCCGCTGGTGTTCACTGCTCCACCTCCTTCCAACCACCATGGACAATTTCTTCTCCTGACAAAGCCATGTCTATAGCTATCCACAATGAGGCCAAAACACACAAGGCATTTAATACTTTGAAAAAGAGTCCAAACAGCTTCAGTTAATTTCTCAAAGATAGACCTGAGTTGACAGTTGCACTGTCTCTGGACCCTGTAGTAACATGCTACAGCTGACTGGGAGTGAGCGATTGGTTTATACAGATAACTGCTCTGCAAAGCTTTAGTCTGAGCTGTCCCTAGCAGGGAAGAGTGGCATTACTGAATAAACTTCTCCCTCTGCTGCTCTAGACAGGTTGGAACTAGCCTTCAGAACAAAAAAAAAGTATAGCTTCCGCTATAGGAAAAGGAAAGCAGGCTGCATTTCAGGAGGGATACACTTGTGTTCTAGCTCAAGACCAGGATCACAGACTGGCGAGTAGAACAGACATTACAGACAGGCCTGGTACCAGCAATATTTTTCCAGGGTCCAAGCCAGCTTATTCATGTAACACACTAGATGAGCACCTTCTGTTCCCTAGCTGGTACTCCAGTGCTTCCTTTGCGGCGCCCCCAGATCTGACAGACATTAGATGAAGACAACTGAATTCTAACCCTCCTTTTTGTGAAGGCTACCTACTGCAAAGACACACAAGTATCGCCTGTTATTGTTACCCACCCCTAAATAATTTTCTTCCCTTAGCACAAACAGTTCCAAAAGAGAAATAAAGCCTTGAACACAATCTATCTCCCCATAGTAGTGATCAAACAAGGTAGAAGCCAGGCAATAAAAATGAAAGCTTAGTTACAAACCTTCCACACATCAGCTGGCAAAGCAGCTAGCAGCCTTTGATACAGGTTTGAGGAGACAGTTCTCTTCAACTCCACTAAAGCATTGCTAAGTACCTCGGAGGCCTGACCCCAAGTCCAAACCAGCAGACAAAACCCGCTGGGCCCAGCCTCAGGAGAGATCCGTTCCAGCAGCAACTGGCACTATCGGCCCCACTGAATCACTGCAGTCAAGAGAGCAGAGCAACGTGCTGTATGGTTGGTCTCAAATGAGCAGCTTCAGTTGGGGCAGCTTCTCTTCTCCAAGAGGAAAAAATCCCAAGAGTCCAGGGGGGAGGAGCGAGCTTCTTCTCACAGTTTAGCAGTTTTCCTTCCAAATTTCAGAGGAACCTCTAAAAAGTTTAAGCCAGCTTGGCTAGAGATACTAGCTCACTTTGCACACCTCTCCTCCAGCACCGCATCCTCCAAAAGAGTCTCTGCTCTCCCTCAGCAACACAAACAACCCTCTGTAAGACAGTTGCCAAACTGGGGGCAGCTATTAGGAGAATTAGAAGTGAGAGGGGAGCGAACTAGCTTTCTAAGAAAAAAAGTGTTATTTTAACATTTCCTGAAGTGAGGCAATCACCCAGGGCTCCTGCCAGCTACAGTCACAACACTTACTCACAACCAAGGACCTCATCTGGCATAGGAAACAGCATGAATCAGATCTGGTTGAAAAATAAGGTTATTGGACATCAGCAGCAAGGCTGCAGCTAGAAGGTGACAGGGAAGGCTTATGTACACTCTGGGTTAGGGATCAATTCACCACCTGCCCTACAGGCTTTTACTATTAGTCCACTGAACTGTGAGCTCAGATCTGGTAGTTCTTCAGGAGAAGAAGATGACTACTTTTCCTTTCCTTCTCCCTTTTTTATCCAAGTATGGAGAGGAAAATGCCTAAGGTTCTTTCAAAGCCACATCTCAATGAACATTACTAGGCAGCAGTATAGCCACTTCAGACTATTCAAGGGACCTCAGATGTACAGCACTGAGGGACAGAAGACTGTTCATTAAACAGCTGCTATTTAAATATGGTGCAATCCCATTATCAGCTGGTAAGATAACCAAGATATCCTGCAAGGAAAATAAGCACCATCCACAACAGCAAAACAAATCCTGAATCATGTAAGCCAGCTGGTCAACAGCTGAGTACAAGGAGTAACAGCAAAACCAATTAGAGATGGCACAGTCACTGGATGCCAGTGCATCACCCTCCCCGGCACATGTTTAGTAGCTCTGCCCCAGCTCAGGTGTTTCCACACCACACAGGCACTCCCAGCCTCTAAGGTCACAGGCTCCCTTGCTCTGCAAGCCTAAGAACAGCAATATCTCAGACCAAGAGATCCCAAGAACAAGCTGATACAGCCATGAGCTGAGCTGCTGGTGTACAAGTTCAAGTACACTGGTGTAACTGTCTTCCAGAGACATTGAAAAGAATATCTAAAAGGCACATTTATGCTGACCAGAAGCAATAACTTTTAAAAAGTTTCAGTGCAAGTCATTTGCTCAGGCTGAGTTAAAAGCCATGAGGCTGCTGAGACAGAACTGAATCGTGGTGTTTTAGAGAAAGTACCAGCTGAACCACCTGCTGCTCCCAAGGCCTGTGGTGCATGGACAAAGGCTGTCCACAAGGCACTAGCTCAAGCGTACTTGGAAGGCTACAGGCAAATTCAGCTGTTGGAACTTTGACTAGGAGAAAGGAACAAAACATTGGCAGGAGGAGGAGGAGAGGCGGAGACTTCCTGAGAGCTGTACAGTACATGTGAGAACACTGCATAGGAAGCAAGAACCAAAACAAAGCAGACTGCCAGAGTAGGGGAGGACTGGTGGTGACTGCTTTGAAGCACAAATGCTCAAAAGACAGACAATACCATCCTGATCTTCATTAGCAAAACAATGCCTTGTTCATTATGACTTTGCCTTTTACCAACATCTGCTTTATCATCTCTCTCAAGGCTGCTGCACCAGAAAGGGAATGGCTACAGTGAAAGACAACAGGGACTTCCGAAGCATGGGTGATAGGATACTGTCTGCTGCCTGCTCCAGAGAGAAAGCAGCCTTTCCTGAACACAAGCACCACTCATCACTTGCATTAGTTATGACTCTTTTTCCAGGCAGACCATTAACACTAGAGGAAGGACAATTGCCAGAATAAAGAAGAGAAGGGGAAAGGCAGAAAAAAGATCAGAACAAAGGGGTTGATTAGACTGAGGGCAGGTCAGACACTGAGCACCAGATGCCAAGATTGAAGTGCAACATGCCCCTTGTTAGAGCAAGGCAGCGACTCCTGCAGCTCCTGGCACCAGCCCGGTCTAGAACTGCAGAGTGGCACCTTGCCCTGCAGTCAGGAAGCACCATCATGCCCTCTCTTTTTAAAAGAAAAAGCTTCTTCATGCACAAGACAATACAGGCACTTTCCCTCAGCAGGCCAGATACAGAAAAGCTTACCCTTTCAAACTAATGGATTAATGCTCTGGGCAGCTTGGTAGCAGACACAGCCAGCCATAAATGAAAAGATACACTAGGGAATTAGCTACTTCAAAGTCTTTGAACTGTTACAGGTTTAAGTACAAATGTAAGCACTGAAAGTGCTTTTATCTATCACATCAACAGCTCAGGCTTGCTGCAATTCTGCTCTGCTTTATAAACAGAAGCTCATCCCCATGATGCTCTGTTCTGCTCCCATGCTATTTTCAGTTTTATTGTTAACCTTCTAGGCTTAAAAGCTTTGGAACACAATTGTATGTGTATCAGAAAAATGCTCACTGCTATTTTCAGTGAGAATTAGATCTCCCCTCAGTTTAGCTGTTCAGAGCAAGCAGGCAATTTGCCATACTAGAAAGATATGTCAGGTTTCAAAACTGCTTGCTGCAAATAGATTAAGGAAAGAGACAAAGACATTTCAATGGTAAGTGTCAGAATCCCTGCTAGAGAACAGGGAGAACACAGCTCTGCAAAGACAATAAAGACTAGAGCTTGTGTTCAACTACTTCTGTTTAGGCATTGACATGAACCAGACAAAATAACTGCCTACCACAGATCTCTCCAGCTGAGGCAGTCATCTTTATTTAGTTCACCAAAATGCCATGTACAACAGCACAGAGCCATACTCTGTGCCCGTGGCCATATTTATCCTTTTCAGCTGGCAGTGAACCTCAAAATGCAGCCAGGAACCCAGCTAGGCAGATGTCATGCAGGTAGCAGCCTCAGCTATCCCCAGAGTATTTTGTCCTCCAGTATGAATCAAACAACTAAGTCTTGATTTCAATTACTTCCCTAGTGTCCCCCAAAACCTACAGGAAGACCTAGCAAACATGAGGCTAAACAGCCCCCCTTAAACAACCCAAACAGCTAGATTTAAAAAAGCCATCCTCATTCAAAACAAGGCTCCTTATTGCTCCCACACAGTTCACCTCATTCCTACCTACGCTGGCATTCAAACCCATTCACCTCATCTGAACACACACTACAAACGCAATCCAAGCTATCAATACAGTGAACTTAAGCCAAAGAATCCTCACCCAGGATGTCCTCATTGTTTATCTGAAGCCAAAAGGCTTTTCCCACACAAGTGTTATCACAGTGGGAGGTTATCTCAGGTAGCTACATCTCAAAGTGACACAGGAATTTTAACAGGCTGCTGGGCAGATTTTCAGCTCCATTTGGAAGCAACTTGCACAGCAGCAAGATCCCTCCAAGTCCCAGTCCAACATCTGCATACAAGGCAAAGTACTGGTATTAGACATTCAGGAGTCACTGTCACCGCTGGTTCCAGTAACCAACCCAACTCCTGGCTTTCGAGTGCTGCCAGAGGCTTCATATAGCATCAATGAAAAATGGAA